TTTATTTTAAATATTAGAGATATTTTAATATCACCTGTATGTGAGACTTCAATAAAAAAAGAGTAAAATTTGGACATGTGAAATTACATTATTTCCTATCATTTTTGTGTGTGATAGAATACTAAGTTGTTTTTTCACCCTCTTTTGATTGACAAAGAGTATTTCATTAATTAATAGAGATAAATAAAAATAAAAGAACTATTATTAATATTAAATAATTAATGTGCGTTTTCTTGACAAACTAATTATTCACATCTTATAAAAGTATTTTTCTTAATCAGGCCTTTTAAGAGAAGATATCTATTTTTTTTTAAATAGAAATTAGTTGTGGGGTCGGCTTCACATTAAACTTCAATGATTCGAGCTGTCTATTTTGTAAGTCTTGATTTGTAGATCATCTTGGTAAAAATTCAACTCAATTCAATCTGAAACCATTTGCTTATTTAACTATCACCATGAAATTTTAATGTTTCTTAGAGAATAAAATGTTCTTTAATTTCTTTGAACTCAATTAGTTGTCTTAAATATTTTCAATTTGGCTAATATTTTATAAAGATGATCTATGAGGTGCAACTTGAAAAATAGATAATTCAAATCGTTAAAGCTCGATGTGGTGTGCGCGCCATATTTATTATTATTTTTTTATATAAAAATGGATATTTCTTCCTTTAAAGGCATCTTTTTCTTAATATATACTAGCAAATGTCACACACTCTGTGTGTTGAGTAATATATATTTTAAATATTTGTATTTTAATTTTTTAATGAGAGAAGTTATTTGCTTTTAACAGATTGATAGACATTCCAAAAAATATAGGTGTTGGCCGTTAGGAAGGAGAGAGAATGAGAAAGAGAGTGAATGAGTTGAAAGGGTAGTAATAAAGTGACATAGCTGTTAGCTTTAGAAAAATAGCAATAAAAACTTGTTTGTACAAAATTACTTTAATGCTCACATTATTTTCTTTTCTAATATCTTCTTTTAGTTTTGTATTAAAAAGGTATAAGTGTAATTATATTTATTTTTAATTGACAAACAATGTTTTATTAATATGTAGTTTTGATAAAAAAAATTAAATGCATAATTAAATTTTTGGGTTCCATTAACCATTCCGAAAAATAATCGTGGCCTTTATATATAAACACCCTAGTCCTTTGCAACATGGAAAAAGAGTTATTAGTATCCCACCTTCGCTCTTGCACTCTCTGTTTACTCTCGTTACTTGCTCACCCTGCTTGCTCTCTCTGTGACTTTGTTTAATCTCTCTGTAACTGAAAAGCCGGCTGTGGCTTTGTGATCGCCCATCGACCGCACCGAAAATGGCGACGCCGAGAGAGCACATTGAAGAAATACGCAAGGAAAAGTTCTCCATCGGAGAAGAAAAACTCAACCCTTTAACTGAAGATCTTCATCAGGCGGTCAAAAATCTTTCTCTTGAACTCTATACTAAATCTGTCCACTTCGTCATGGAACTCATTCAGGTAATTTTCATTCCCATTCCTATGTATATATACACACTCCTAGTAAAAACACTCAGTTATTGAAGGATAGGATTGTAAAATAATATAATATTAATATACGAGAGTTTTCACTTTTAATACCACAAAAAGCCTTGGCGATTTTAGGATGAAAATTTTCATATATTAATTGTATTTTATTTTGTATCTGAGATCCTATTTTTCAATATGCTCTCTTGTCAGTAACCCAATATGGTCACAAGAAAAACCAATTTCCAAATCGAAAACTGGTCAAGTCATTGTAGTGCCATACCGAGTATTTATTATATATAGCCAAAACTTACCCTCCAATTTCATAAATGTCATTTTTTTATATAAATTATCAATTATAGCGAAAAACACACCTAAATAGACCTAAATACTCAAAAATTAAAACCCAATTACACTGGACCTAAAATCCTTGGAGTTCTTTTCGATTCCAACTCATGTAATACGTACAAAAGGACTACTGGCTTATTTTTGGAAAATACTAATTTTGACTGGGGAAAGTAGATTTCGCCGTAATCTTTTCATCACCATATAAATGTGAAGAACACTAACAATAACAGTCACTACCTCAAGTCCCTAAATGGAGGATTGAAAGAATTGGGTACTCTGACCCAAATCTCTGTAATCCAAAGAAATTAACCTTTCTTAGATCAATACATGTTTGACAGCATGTGAAGCTTTTTCGCGATCAATACATGTTAGGCATAAGAGTTGAATGGAGCTTTTTCGCTTGTGTTTACCGGACGATTTAATCTTATTGTAGTTATTGTATCAAAGCGAGTTTTGTTCTTTTTCCTAATATGAAAACGAAACTATATATGATTTATATAATTTGCAGTTCCCTAAAGGTTGTTATATTCGAACAACAGTTTTCTTCCCAGTGAATCCAAATTTATTGTAGGCCTATGAAATTTTGTATACTTGCTGCTCATTCATTAAGAGGAAAAGCTAGCACACGTTACAAAAAAAAAAGGTTTAATTGTGGATATTTGGGTTTATTCAAGAGTGATTTTGACTATGTATGAAATTTATTACAAAAGTTGACATTTATGAAAGTTGGGGCTAAAATTTGGCAATATATGATATAAACCTCATTGTACCAGAGTTAACACAATTTTTTCATAGTCCGGTCATCATTCAGGGACTAGAGCTGTTGTAACTTTTTGAGGCCCAATCATCTCAATATCCTTAAGTTAGAGTTAGTGCAACTTTTCGAAAGCTCAACTTAAAGATGCAAATTCAAGCCCAGTAAATCGAGTCCAGGACATATCGAAAGAATAGTACGCTTTGATTTCATGTCAGATTTTTAGAGAGATGGGTCACTAGTTCACCCCTCCTAACCATACTTATAAAACTCAACACCTAGTAATACGGTAGTTGAGTTGAGACAATTATGTATGGTTAGGAGTGGCCCAGGTTAGGAGTGGCCCAGTGATTTGTCTATCTGAATATTTGACATCAATATGTATGATGAATTTTGTTTTTGGTGTTAACGTGGTTAGGTCAGTTTTTTTTTTTTTTTTTTTGGTCAAAGTGGTTAGGTCACTTGACTAGGAATTCTTTCTTAGAATAAGATATATATTATTTTTTTCTTTCTTTCATTCATTTCAAATGGCATAAATAAATATGGAGTGTCATAGGAAAAGGGTGTGCCGAAATCACTTTAATTCAGAACATCACCTTGCTAAATGCGGAAATCAATTTCCTTTATAATATACCCTTGTCCAGAAAAGAGAAGTAAATGCTTTTGCAAGAAGCTTGTAGCTCAAGTGGCAAAGAGCAATTCCGAGTCACGTGTTCAATTCCCCCTCTCCCCAATATTTTTTTGTATCACAAGAACTAAATGCGTTATGAAGAAAGATTAATGACGTTATGTAGGTTTGTTACGTTTGTCTGCACATGCATGTAGGTATTAGTGTGCTGGATAATATAATTGAAGGTTTTTAATCTCATTTAATACATTCAGTAAAGTTAAAACTGTTAAAGCTTACATTGGATAATGTCACATCCCGGCTCGAGCCCTCACCACATCCCGGGCTCGACTCCACCGTAGCATGATATTGTTTGCTTTGAGCCCCGACCATGCCCGACCATGCCCTCACTGTTTTGTTTCTAGGAACTTACACGAGCAGAACTTCCCATTAGGTTACCAATCCTATGATTGCTCTCGTCCAAACTCTCTTAACTTCGGAGTTCCAATGAAACCCGAAGCCAGTGAGTTACCAAAAGGCCTCATGCTAGGAAGAGATGGGAATATACATAAGGCTTATAGGATCCACTCCCCTGGGTGATGTGGGATGTTACAGATAAGATGCTATTCGATTTCTCAATGTTTTAATCAATTGGAAATGGGAAATAATTTAGTTTTGTAAAGATATATGCTTGTGAATCTTAATCTTAATCGATATGCCAATATGAACAATTTCAAGATTTAACTTTTGTTTCTTGTATGGTTTGATTGAAATAACAAAACATGGTGTATTTTACTTCACAGAATGCAGAAGACAATGAGTACGCAGACGGCGTTGATCCATCACTTGAATTTGTCATAACGTCCAGGGATATAACCGGCACAGGGGCTCCTGCCACATTGCTGGTTTTCAACAACGAGAAGGGATTTCACGTAAGAACATAGAATCCATTTGCAGCATTGGACGGTCCACCAAGAAAGGCAACCGGAAGCGCGGCTACATTGGAGAGAAAGGTATGTGCATTATCAATACATTACTTCCCCTAACTTTATGGAAGCCACGCAATGTTTCATTTGATACAATGTGGCACATGTTTGTTATAGAGATGTTCCAAGATTTAATAATTCTCTGCGAGTTCACATTTCAGTCGTCTATCGCGAACTATATGCACTATAGTATGCTTGATACAGAAAAAATTAGTACTTTGATTGGAATTATTCTGCAGATATCAAAATTTAGGTGATATTTTACATGATGACGGTTATATATTAATCGGTAAAGTATGCAGCTGAAGTTTGTGTTGAATTATGGCCAAATGACAAAACAACTTTCGGCTAAATAAAATAAACAAAATGAGGTAGGCAACATCATTATGTTTGTTGAAAAGATAAAAAAGGTTATGATGATGTTTGTAGAAAAAAGGGTAAAGGCTAGCAAGTAGCCTTATTATTGGTGTTGTTTTTGGGTGCTTTATAATGGATGAATGTGTGCAGCCGAGAGTGAGAGAAGGAGTGAACACCATTTGTTTTAGTAGCCCATCTTTGAGAGAGCAAGGCAGCCACATAGTAGCAGAAAATAGAGAGCACATATTGGTTTTTTCAATAGCTCCATTTTGGAGAGAAGAAGAAAGTGTGCCCTCTCATTGTTTAGTTCTCACTCCATCAAAGTTTTATTATTATAATAGCTTTGAGTTTTGTATATAGAAGAAATTAATCACTCTATTTCTTTCTCTATTTGTTTCTTTGGTGTGTAAGAGCTATTAGTTGTATTGGGGTTTTGGGTTGTGAGCTTGCCAACACTTTGTAAACTCTCATTTGATTGATAGTGGATTATTGGGTGAGCTCCTATTACTCCGAGGACATACTCCAGTTACACCGACTGTTGAGGAACCTCGTTAAAATCTTAGTGTCTTTTAGTATTTTGTTCTTGCATTCAATTTGATATATTTCCTGTAGATTAGCTTCAGTTGGTTCCATAAGGTTTGGTGCTATCCTAGCACAACAGTTTGGAATGCCTATAAGCTTATATGTGTTTTCTTTCTTGTTTGGTAGTTAAGATTTTTCATTGTTGTGCTAATTCAATCATGTTTCTGGGTAATCTACAGGAATTGGCTTCAAGAGTGTGTTTTTGATCACAGATCGGCCTTACATCTTTAGTAATGGCTATCAGATAAGGTTCAATAAGGAGCCTTGTCTGCATTGCAATCTCGGGTACATTGTTCCTGAATGGGTTGAGGAAAATCCTACTCTATCTGACATACAACAGATATATAGTTCTGGTTCTGCCCTTCCAACCACAACGCTGATCTTACCTCTAAAGCCCGACGAGGTCCATCCTGTGAAGCAGCAGCTCTCAAGTATGCATCCGGAAGTTCTCTTGTTTCTTTCAAAGATTAAGCGACTCTCAGTTAGGGAAGATAATAAGGATCCAAGGCTCAACACTGTGAGCGCAATATCAATATCAAGTGAGATAGATCTTGTGGCGCGGAAGAATATTGATGCTCAGTCCTACACGCTCCACCTCTCTGCAGAAGAAAATGGTGACGGCAACAAAAATTGTAGCTATTATATGTGGAAGCAGAAGTTTCCTGTCAGGCAAGAATTCAGAGAGGAGAGGAGAATGGAGGTCGATGAGTGGGTGATCACGCTAGCATTTCCATATGGGGAGCGCCTTCATAGAGGAACAAGCTCACCCGGGGTCTACGCATTCCTTCCAACTCAGATGTTTACAAATTTGCCCTTCATAATTCAGGCAGATTTTCTGTTACAATCATCAAGAGAACATATTGTCTTGGACAGCAAGTGGAATCAAGGAATTCTTAATTGTGTGCCTGTTGCATTCCTCAAAGCATTTATCACCCTCGTGAAAACTGTAGGAGATGCACCAGTTTCTAGTTTGCCTCCTTACTTTAGGTTCTTACCTGTCCAGAACACCCCCTATGATGAATTGAATGTTGTGAGGGAGTCAATCAAAGCACTGCTTATTGAGGAAGACATTGTACCAACCAAGTCACACAAGCAGAAGTTCTTCCATAAACCTCGCGAAGTGGGTAGGTTGTTGCCTGCTTTCTGGAATATTTTGAGAAAGGCAAGCAATCAAAGGGTTAGCTTGGGGAACATCTCTTCCCATGGAAGATATGTTTTGTGTGATTCATTTGACAAAGCGGAGTATGATCACATTCTGAATTTCCTTGGAGTTGAACCAGTCGACGATGAGTGGTATGCTAAATGCATTCAGAGTTCCGATATTGTAGCCGGAGTGTCGAATGATGTCTATTTGGAGCTTCTTTTGTTTGTCTCCGATAAATGGAGGTGGACATTCCACTGCACCAACATCAAGAACATTCCACTGATAAAATATGTGGATTTTGACGAGAGTGTATCATTCTGCAGCTTAAGCGCAATGCGGATTGGTGAAAAGAAGATTTTCCTATCCCGTCTTTCTTGTCATGTCTCATGGTTGATTGATTGGAACAAGGAATTTATATCCGCAGCGAGTCTTCTTTTTATGCCAGAAATAACCCAGCGAGCTCTCCAGTCATGTTCTAGGAAGGAGGAGTTGGTGAAATGGCTCGCAGAAGAAATGAAGGTTGATGCTGTAAGTGTTTACGAGTATGCAGTTCGCCTCGATCATTCTCTTGGCAATGAGCGAAAACCTGTTGTTGCATATGCCCACTTTTTGTATCATTCATTGTGCAATAAGTATATCTCTACTTAAGAAGTTGATCATTTATGTCGTAAAATGCCACTTGTGAATAACTACGGCTACGTTAATAGACAAAGGAGAGGGCTTATTGTCCCTGCCAATGAAAGCAAATGGGCTGATTTGACTGATTCAAATCTGTGGATCGAAGAAGGCTATGTCGAGTTAGGAGAATACTAGTAAAAATGCCCGCGCGTTGCTGCGGGACTTGAATGCACCAACCTTAACCACATGAATTAAGACATTTAACTTGAAAAAAAAAATCAACATAATCAAGAACAAACAAAAGGGATAGATGAGTAAAAGGTGTCGGTAAGATAAGCAGTTCGACTTTTATATACATTCAACCGAGCTGATTATAAAAGGTATAGTTGCAAAAAAATGCTCCGTTTCCTTGAGAAACAGAAGTAACATGCATTTAACACTTATATTGCCCTTCAAGTTAAGATGGCAAATATATGTCATACAGGCCAGGCACGTGTTTTAACAGCTAAACAAAAAAGCAAAAAAAAGTGTGTTGTTCTTGTTTCAGTAGCTAATCTTTCAAGCACTAATGTTCAAAGCTAAAAAGATGCAGGATGCCTGTTTCCATAAGTTACAGAAGAAACAGAAGGAAGATGTAGTCCACACATATTTTGCCCCTGTAGTAAAGGTGGTTAAATACTTGTCCTACAGGCCAGGCACCTGTTTAAACAGTTAACAAAAAACATAAAAATTGTTCCGTTGTCGTTTCAGCAAGTTTTCAAGCACACATGTTCAAAGGCAAAAACATGGAGAGCGGCTTTATAACAGCTGATAAAACATAACAATCAACAAACTAAAGCTTTAAGCAACTAAATAAAGCACGGTTGGGTTTAACCTTGGGAATTAGGAATTAGGATAAGGGCCTAAATGTCAAACAAATTATAAGTATTGTATAAAAGGGTTAAGATAAGGGCCTAAACGTATTATAGCATGTTGCATAGATACAATAAGGTTAAGCTAAGGGCCTAAATGTATTATGGCATGTTGCATAGATATGTAAAAACTATTTATATAGAACATGCACAAATTATTTATATAAAGTATATAGTAGTAGTTTATAGCTTAGCTATGTACACTGATATATACATATTAAGAGATGCCCAAAATATAGTCGTTCCTATTTTACCGATGTACTCCAAACATTGGAGCACTTTGACTACTAAGGATTAGTTGGTAGCTTAGTTATATTTGCAGAACCTTCTATACGTAGAGAGTTGATAGGATTTACATAACTTGTTTAGGGCTGATCTTCAACGATATTGCACCCTTGAGCTCATTCTTTTTTCTCTTTGGTTCCTGTTACAAAACAAATCAACCAAATAAAGAAAAATTAGTATGTCAAACAAAGAAATTATAACAGCTAAAAAAGTAGTTGATCTGTCTACCACACAAATGGTTATACAGCAATGTGTAACAAACAATATGATTATTCACACTTAAAAAGCTATCCTGTTATAAATGGTTGGGAATTAACGTTTTCAATTAAGACTTTTAAACTTTTTTTCTATTGTTGGATTGCAAAATGAGCATCCCAAATTGCACATGTAAAGGATCTTGCACAGTTTGCAAAATTTTCTTCCCAAGCTACAGGAAACAAATTTTGGGAATGCAAAAGAGAAGAGCAAAGATTTCAGACTCAGAGCATGTTATTGACTCCACCACAAATCTGTTAACTATCAAAGACAAAATAGTTCTTCTCTCTTATAAATGTGGTTATCAACCATTTTTACATATTTTTGTTAAAGTGTAACCTAATTGTTGATTCAATTACAATATCTGAAAATACCTCAAGTCAAGCCACCTGATTTTGGCATTTGGGTGAGAAGGGGATGCTAATATATATTTCAAAAACAACATTGTACTTTTCAGTCATTTTCATGGTTCTTACCAAAATTTAAAATCTGGAGATAGTGAGGGAATAAGACAGTCAGGAAATAAACAAATATTAGATATGATTCCAGATTCTAAAATAAATATCAGCAAGTCAAAAGTAAAAACATGACAAATTAAATATTGTAGTTAAAGACCATATAAGTAATCTACAACTAAAAAGCTAGATATTAAACCTAAAATCATGTAACTATGTATGAAGCGGAGAATAATGCAGAAAGATGGTTTTCTATAGTGCTGCCAATGACAATTAATTTTTCATGAAAACAAAGAAATGAGAAACAGAGGTATAAAAGTATATTATTTTTTATAGTTGCAAATATTATGAATTCAAAAAGAAAAACTACAGATAACACTTCAATCATATACCTAAGCATCTAAAACGCGGCGCCCAAGATACCATTCAAGACAGGGCTCAACATCATGGATGAATTAACCTATCCGTGTCCCCGAGCTCACTGCATGTCATATACACCTGACCAACTGGGCATAGGAGCATAATGAGGAAAACTTTCAACACCACTGTGTACCTAAAAAATTAAGGGAGGAACTAATTAAAACGTATCCTCAGTTAGAAGAAAATAATGCATGCATAATAGCCACATGGACCTTGTGTATATAAATTGTTGTGGCAATAATTTGCAATAGAAAACATTGTTATAAATAAGATATACGAAATACCAACATTGCAATGGTTTTTTTTTTTTCATTCGATTGTACTGAAGCATGCATCTTAGTGGAGAACAATTAAGTACTACGTGAGGTCTATAATGAAATGGGAGATTGAATACAGTCGAGGAAACTGAAAATTCAAATATGCACACACTCCATAGTATTATCTTCACAACCAAAAGAAACGTTTATATATACGACATATGTTTGACATTGTTTTTCGCCACTCAAATTGTCTTGAGAAAATTTGACTACATTGAGAATAAGCAAAAGAGTACTTTTTACTACCTAATTTACTAACATCTACCAAATCCAAAAGCTACAAAACTTTGATTAAAGAATCATATAGAATAGAATGAGAAAGTTATTAAGACACCATATCTGAATTTTTTGCAAATAAAAACACCTATATTTCACCTGATTTTCCAATGAAATATAGATGCTTGTATTTCACCAGTACATAAACATGGTTTTAAATATTAGTCTCATCTATGATATATTTCGTACTGTCATAGATAGAGAGATTAATAAAAGACCTCTCGCAATGTTACTGTGTCATGGTAATAAGGGTGTGCTATCTACACACCCCATTTTACTTCTCACACACCCCTTGATAATTTTAGTCCGTTGATATTCTTCAATTCATCCGATCCGATGACCGAAAATTAAAAAGGTGTGAGAAGTAAAATGAGGTGTGTGGATGTCACACCCCTAGTAATAATTTATATTACTTCTTTTATTATACCCAAACCTATACCAGTTTGTAATACCAGTTTGTAATATTCAACCAACTTTAAACCTTTTGGATTAGAACACGGGCAAATGAAAAAATAAGTTAATGCAAAATCTTTAGCACCTCAACTTGCAAAATATTTGCAATAAATTGAGATCTATCACAAACAAAACAGTGTCGAAACCAAAGATGCTAACTCCCAACACAATCAAAACTACATATAGGAAAAAGGAAATGAAGCTTAAAAAGCTTAAATTAGGGAAAAGAGTTGGAGAAGCAACAACTGACATTATTTACCAAGGCTTTTCAAGGTTGGCAATATAATGGATATGCTTCCCAGGAGCTTCAACTAAAGCTTGATAAATTGTTGAAATGGGTTGGAGCAGAAGTAATTTGAGTGCCTTCTTTCTGACTACCCAAAAAAATATATATTTTAAGATTAGATATTACAAACTGCTGTACACATAGTAATAGAATCAGTGTTAATTTCTCCATTTTATAGCAATACCTCATAACAAATCATCGTCGACAAACGAAATGAGTTTTAGTTTTTGAATTAAAAAAGCCAAAACACATTTTCAGAGAGTCTGTTAGCCAGAGAAAATCAGAATAGCCAATAGCAGACAAATCCGGAAAAACAGATAGACACAAATAGAATCATTCAAATTTTGTATTTTGTTAGTTTCTCATAGCAAGGAGTAAACAATTTAACACTTGAAAACCTGCAAGCCAGTGGCTCAAAGATGAAAAAAAACTGTACAAACCCAAATCAACTAAGTTACAAAATAACATCAGAGTCTGTGTAGCGATCTAGTTTTTTATTTTGTAATTAAATTTAATCTCAATTTTTTGCCCAACAATGGAACCATCAGAGGTTGTGCAGCAATAGTGCACAACAGTTTAGTAAACACCATAAGTGAATGGGGATAAATTGAATATTAATACATCTACATCTATTAGAATAGCTAAACATGTAACATAATTCACACCAATAAACCATCATTCAATTTGAATTTTGAAGTAATCTGTCCATATTGCCTAAACTACTTAACCGAAAGAGAACAAATTTACTGGAAAATTTCTAATTTTTCCTAATATGTTAGTAGAGAACAATTTCTTACATGTTTCAATATATCCACAAAAATGGTTCTTTTTCCTTATGAATCTGACACGGACACCTGCAACTCCCCTATAGAAATAAAAAAACAACCTGAAAAATTAAAAGGAAATGATTAGACCCAATAGTCTCTGATGAAATCCAACAAATTGAATAGGGGTTTACATAAATAGGCAGAAATTTAAAAAAAAAATCCATTCAAATACATGAACAAAAGATATTAAAACAACAAAAAATCAAGAGAAATCAACTTTGCAGTAAACTCTAGATCCAAAAACAAAAAAATTATTCCTTCTCTATTCCTTATCTAGCCATCACTCTCAAAATTCCTCAATCCCTTATATCTCACAAAGAGAAACACATGCATGTCCATTTCCGATCTTAAAACCGAAAGAACTGTTTCGGTTTCTTAGTTTCTTACCCAAATCCACCAATTCAAATCAAATTTTTGCAACACACATGTGAAATAGATACACAAAACACCAACATTACAATGGTTTTTTTTTTTCATTCACAGATGTGAAATAGATACACAAAACACCAACATCATACATTCTTTTCTTGTGGCTTTGGTGGCTTTGGAAAATGGGTTTTTTTTTTTTGTTCAAGGCAATGGACGGCAGCAGAAAAGGGGGAGTGCAGACAGGCAGCAGATAAGCTGCAGAAAAACAGCAGAAAAGCAGGAAAAAAAGAAGTAGAAATTAAGCAGAAAAGCAAGAAATTGACTCGAACTTACCAATTTTTTTATTCAAAAAGGAGTTGGAATCAAACTAAACCTGAAAAATATCATATATCCAATATTAAGTGCATACACCTATAAACTAATCCTTATATATACTTTAAAATAATATGGATCAATGTAATCTAAAATGTTATTATATTCAATATGGCAATACCAAATTGTAAAGTGAACTCTAAAAAGTAAGGCCTATGGTAGATATCTGTATTATATAGCAACTTCATTTCCATCAGAGAGTACACATCATTGAACAAACTAAGAAGATACCTGTTGTAAATTGAGAAGCTTCCTCTCAAGATCTCTAACAGCATCATGTCGCTCTTGAATTTCGGCCAAAGTGTCCATTATCTACAATTTGATACACAATTTTGGAAATGATCAATCTTAATCAGAAAATTAAGTTTTCAACAACCCAAGCTAGAAGAGTTAGGAGCTTAAAATTAATTGTTTAAGATGTCAAAAAATGTGTCAAGTTTGTGAGAGAATGCACAATTTCGATTGTAAAAAGTGCTTATTTAGGGGCAGAGAATAAAAAAGGATATTTGACAAACCTAGCCTCCCCCTTGTTCTTGGATTGCCTTCTGGAAAATTTGTTCACCATCTCCCGTCTCAATTAATCTTTCAATTGTCTGTACAAAGTAAAATAATTAGAAAATGAGCATTCACAGTGGTATAGATATACCGCAATTTTCAATAGTGCAATAAGTTTTACCTCTTCATCAGCTCTTGCGCCCATCACTGAGATTCACAAAATGCAAGAGAAATAAACTATAAAATCAGATCATAGAAATTCAAGTAGAAGTTCCAGAAATAGCAACCACCGATGAGTGGCAAGTAAGGGGTTCAAACCTGTAAAAATAATGTACCACAAAATAATAGAAAGGCAACAACTTTACACATTATTACGTATAATTTTCATTTTCTATATAGTTTAGCATGTTTTTTGTTAGATGATCGATCTATACGCACACATAGCATATGTACATGGATATATACAACATAGAAAATAAACACAACTAAGATAAGGACTACCATCAAAATTGAACGGATAACGAAAATACATATCACCTTCTTTCCCATCTCTAATGCTATGTCATAAGTCCCTAAAGAAGCAACTGCCTGAAGGATGAAGAAAACCAGAAACTCATAATAACCATAGCAGACAAACCTAGAAAAAGACGGAAACAACAACAACAAAGTCTTTTCCCACTAAGTGAGGTCGGCTATATGAATCCTAGAACGCCATTGCGCTCGGTTTTGTGTCGGTAAAAAAAATAAATAAATAAAATAAAATTATTCAGATTTTGTATACTGTTAGTTTCTCAAGTAGTCTTTACATATTCATTCAAGATTATGCATCTATTAGAGCGCTTTAAGCAGAACGGTAGTGTAGTATTCAAAATTATATTCAAATGATCATTGAGGATTTTTTACAAATGAATCTCCCACTATTCTACTTAAACAACCACATACTCAATACCAAGTGAAAATTGCATCGTTTTTACAAAACATTGAAAAACATATGAACTGATGCCCAACTTTAATTAATCTGACATTAATAGTTGAGTAATTCAACATTCAGAGTTGACAGGAGAGTATATAACATTGGAAAACATATGAACATGCCCACCTATTTGGCGGTTGAATAATCATCACATAAATTTACATTATTCACAAATTTGATCATTCAAATCTTCACATCCAATAAGTTTAGAAAGGTACCTAGCTTCCTTACAAAATCGTATCTCTACAGGCCAAGGCTCAAATTCCCTTGCTGCTGCCTTCATTCGATAAGTCCTGATTCAAACAGTCACATATATCAGATATATATATATATATATATATATATATATATAATAAGTTGATGCGTTCAATGGGCATGAACTTATCAGGTATTATGAAACCGATTGAACACGTTTAGTGTAATGTCCGCAATTAAATAATGAGCGTGAAAATGACTAACAGGGGTAACACAAACTGCTCAACTTAGGAATTAAAGCATCCAATATTTAGAAAATAATTGACAATTTTCATGGTCAAATTAATTAGGAAAATCATAAATAATAAACTCAATTGTTTCAACTGCTAATTCTGATGAAGCAGCAGTAGTTCGACATATTGCTTCTGATGAAGATTATTATATATCAGTGGTGCAAATTAGCAAAATAATAGTGCTTTCAGACTTTTTGAAAACATTTGAAAGTGCCTTCAGACTTAAATTCACCAATTTCATAACCTTCTCCATCAGTACCTTCACCTTCTCCGTCCCCCCCTCCTTCATCACCTACTTCATCAACTCTCAATATCACCAAAATTCTAAATGACTATCCAGACTTCATAATAATTTTTTTATTTAGCCTAAAATAGGAAAAAACCCAAAACAGAAGATGTACAGAACTTTAGACACGAACATTTCAAGATATGAATTTGAGGTCTACTACACATCATTACAGAGGACTAAATTTAAGATCAATAGGATAAAAAGACATGCATTTTGATATTTTCATGCATGTACTTCTTGTACTCAATGCATTTCCGGAGGAGAAGAGAAGGATACCATCTCTTTATCTACTCTCTTCCAAAATAGTAGCATATCTCTGGCTAGTTTCCTTGTACGAATTGTAGCCCCCTCATCAATTTAAGAGAGATCTACTGACCTTCAATTTCACCTACATAGAATAAAAGAGTCGACAGTTCAGTATAAACATTACAAACGCCATCTGATGAAACCTAAACCCTACAAACGTCAGAAAAGGGTACAAATTTTAGAGAGACAACGCTGTCAAAATCTTACAGGAACAATCCTAGGTAGAGCAAATCTTTCAAAACCAACCCCATCCCTCCCTCACTCTCTCTCTGAAATTCTCACACCCCCATACCCCCATATTCAGCATCACTACTCAACCCATAATTCTATCTCTGCATTCCCACTCCCCCCATCCCCATGCCCCCAAATTCAGCATTTGTTTTTCATCTAAATTACTATGAAAAAGTGTGATTAATAATCTTAACAACATGCTCAAAATAAAGCCCAAATTATCCGAAATGGCATACACTTCAAAACAAAAATTTAATTCTGCTACAGGTAGGGGGAGACGGGTTAGGACAGTGGGGAAATGGACCACTTTTTTTTTATTCCTTGATTCCATCATTTTGTAGGTGGTCTACGAACTCCTTAATTTAATAAGATTAGTTTAGGACTTGTGAGCATAGGTGCTGCACGTTGATAACAAAACAATTTAAAAGTTGAGAAACCTTATCCACTCATCTATTCTATTAAACCTTAAAGATACCACCCAATATAAACATAAATTAAATATAACTCGAAAAAATACAAATAAAACAAACAAACAATAATCAGCAAACAAAAACCCTAAACATTCATATTTTTCAGATTCAAATGAAACCCAATTTCCACACATTAAATTCAAAATCCCATCAAAGAAAATCAAATGCTAAATCCAAAATCTGCATTCTCATAAAAAAAAAAAAAAAAAAAAAAACTTGATTTTAACTTTTATAAATGCAAAAAATCATATATGCAAACTTAAAGGAACAAACAAAAGAATTACTTACAGAAATTTCAAAAGCTTAATCATGCGCTTGATGGATCTAGTGGAAATTTGTTGGACCTTTTCCCTAATTAGATAGAATTCGACGTTGGCTGCAGCAAACTGAAAAACACATTGTCACCAAGCATAAAAGCCGTTTTTCAGATGAAATGAGGGCATATATAAATATCATTCGGATTCAACAAACTGCATACTAATTCCTGTTTAGATTTTTTAAATTATTTAGTTACTATGGTAAGAAACATAATTTAAATAATTATGAGAATAATATTTTAACAGTCACAATAAATATCATAAATGAACTAATAAGACATTTGCATTCAAACAAAATACAAATGATTTAGTCAATTACTGACTTCAAATCTACTAATTTTGTGAGAGAGAGAAATAATTACAACATTTTTCTATGCACGACGATGATAAATATGACTCATAAATAGTTTTGACCTTAAATAAAAGAAAATGCTCAGGAAAATCAAATTTAACAGAGGTCAATACCTGTACCAGGGAAAAGAATGGATGCATCCATTTCTGTAAAGGCTGCACTGCCCAAGAAGTAAATACATTATGATGAAAGTATATTCATAAATTAATTAAAAAATGAAAGGAAATTATGCATCACGATTTCGACTTACTTTTTTGGCAACTTGTTGCAGTGAAGAAGAGAGCCAGAGGTACCGTATCAGGTACCCACCACCAACGCTGTGTAATGATTTTCAATATAAAAAAATAAATAAAGAACACGTTATGGGCTTGAATTGCAGGTGCACTCTCTCAGTTAGTAGCAAATAATATAGTCATGCTGCCTAACCATGATAAAAATTAACAATTGTGGAGATATATGTGAGCTCCAAGAATCAAATATCAAATCCATTTGTATACTTGCCCATTCTATTTTCTCAGCTACTAATTCTGCATATACATAATCAAAATGAATTATTAGCCAAGTCCACTTCACATCATATGTTTTGAGATTATTTTCTCACCAGAACAACAGTTAGAATTCTCTGAAGATACAAATGCATGCAGATCTATAGTTTTCTTCAGGATCTGTGACAAAAACATAAGCACGCTTCTTATTTCCAAGAATCATGTTGATGAAAACGTTTCATCTCTTCATATTTTATGTCCCGGCCGATAGTAAACTCCTCTGTTCTTCGGATTTTTCTGTTGTCTTGCATCTTGCGCATTAAAAAATGAACGGACTTAAAGGCTGCCACTTCTAAGTAGTCTTTGATGTCAGGCAGTGACCACCTGTAACACATGAGTAATTGTCTCTCAGTAATTCAGAATTCACCAGAAAAACAAAATATTATCAAATAAGTAATAATTGGAAAAACATAAACAACTTACAGCCTCCAGCTGTATGAAAATGCTTGTTTAATTTTCTTCTGCTGCTTTTAGGAGATGGAAATGGAGGCTTTTTCTTGTCTTGTGCTCAATGATATCAATTTCAGCTTGCTCCCAAATGTACTGCAAAAGCTAAAAGAAAGTTACAGACTTTGCAAGTAAACAATAGCCGCTAATTTTTCTCCAAAATTTTCAGATACCTCATTCCCAACCATACATCCAAATAAAATAAAAGTAAAAACTCCACAGTACCAATACACAACCAAAATTTGAACCTGAAAATCCATCTTCAAAGTTCTATCAAATGCGAGCATTTACTCAATTTTAAGAAGTTGTATTGTTAAAACTTAAATCCCATGATGAACCCACCTTCCTTAATCTTTTCTAAAGAAGCAATAATTCAAATAATGTATCCAAATTAGAAAATAACATATGATTCATGATATCTTATACTTTCATATCCAAGTTATGTTTATGCAAATCATGAGAGACACGCATTTAAATCTCATCCCACACGCCCTAAGTAAAAAAGAAACCAGCTCCTCCATCATTCAATGTCCAAGCAGATTTAGCATGTGGAGTAATAGAATATCAAAACGCAAGTTACAATTTTTAATGTACTTTAATAATTATTTCTTCAACTTTACCTCCAAGTAGTTCTTCCGATGGAAATAATTGATTTCCAGTGCCTAACCAGTGAGGCACCCTTTCTTTCCCACACTCTCCTTAACAATCCATGAACCTGAAGAGAGAAGAATCAGTAATAAGTTAATTGATCTTAGTTGGTTCCATAACTTGCTAATACGAAAAGAGAACAAAACAAAAAAAAGTTAATCGAAGGATTTTACAAAAGCTACAAAAATTAACTAAATCTCACATCAAAAGAACCCAGAAATTTAATGAAGAATTCTCCAAAACCCACAAATTAAAACGTAAAATTCTACAAAATCATGAAAAATTTAATACAATCTAATTATATTAATCACCAAATTGAATTAGATCTTCACATCCAATAAGTAACAGAGTTTGAAAACATTATACCCCAAGAAACCCCAAATTTACAGAAATTGGGAGCAAAGATCGAAGAGATCTCATGAAGCCGACATCGAAATCGTCAATCGTGTTGCAGAGCACAGTTTTTTCATTTTGGATTTCCAGATAAAGATTCAAACCCAAAACTAAGTAATTTATAAAAAAATGCACTGAATCAATTCGAGAAAGTGCAAAAATTATCAAACCTCAAGATCTCTTCCGTCGTTTGCGGACTCGAGCCCATCTCCATGCTCCTCTCCTCCATCTCACCGAAGCTCTCGAGTTACATAAATGAAGGCCACTTTGAGTGGTTTTGATTTTAGGAAGCAGGAAGCCGATGCTATTCCAAAGATGGTGTTGTGGCTGTTAGGGTTTCAGAAAGGGAAAACGAAGCCAAATGAAATCGAGGATCTGCAGAAATGGTGCTGAGATCCCCACTCCTCCCGCTCCCTCTCTCTCGCTCTGTCTCTCTCCCTATCGGAGGCATGGCCTCCCATTCCCGAAAGCACTCACTGAATGACAGCAAACCTAAACCCACCCCAATCTGTCTCAAACGCACAGGACAAAATTGCCCTTCCAACCCAGCCCCAATATCAGCCCAAACCTGACGGCTTTGCTGTAAATAGGACATTTAATCTGCAAAAAAATTCATCATAATCAGGAACAAACAAAAGGGATAGATGAGTGAAAGATGTTGGTAAGATGAGAGTTGAATCAAAGGAATCAGTAGTGTAAAACTGACAAAATGCTTACAAATTCAACTCCAATTGTGCTGATGTAGCTATCCAAGTATGAATTATCCTATTCAACGATTCCGAAGGTCAGACAAAAATTGCATGAGAAAAATTGAGATTATATGCAATTGTATGTCAAATAATCTGAAAAATACCATATATCCAATTTAAGTGCATAAACCTATAAACTAATCTTCATATATACTTTAAAATAATACAGATCAATGTAATCTAAAACATTGAAAACATTATCATACAATTAAAGAATCACGATGCAGAAAATGTTCTTTCCATTATTTTCAAATAACTTTTCACCCCACAACACTGAGCCTCTGCGCATGACCCCTACCCCTCTCCCTGAAATCCTGAATACCCCATATGGTTCTCTCTCTCTCTCTCTCTCTCCCCAAAATGGGAAGTGGAAAGTTTGGTCATGCAAGACTTAAGACATTAATTATTTAAAGGACCTAATGGATGGCAGAAAATGGTTGGGGGAGACGGGTTAGGATAGTAGGAAATGGACCAGTTTTTTTAATTCCTTGAGTCCATAATTTTGTAAGTGGTTTGCCAACTCCTTAATTTAATAAAATTAGTTTAGGACTTTGTGAGCATGGGCGCTGCATGTTTACAACAAAAACAATTTTAAAGTTGAAAAACCTAACCCACTTATGTAATGTATTAAACCTTAAAGACAGCTCAACCTCTAATAATAATCTTATTAAATTAAACCATAACCAAATTAAATAATGCAGACACAAAAAGCACAACTATTGTCACACGAAGGAATTCACGATTAATACAATGTATATCTGTCGATAAAAAGATCTGTAGTAGCAAGCAATTCATCACACTATATAATCTGTCATATCTACCGTGAACTGCACTGCTTGGTCTGAAGTAGAGAAAAGAAAAAAACTAAGTATATCGTATAAAACCTCAGGGCAAACAAATAACTATAGAAGACAACGCATCTAATTGCAAATCACATGTACATCAAGGTTATGATCATCCATGTCTAGGTTTAAGACAATTTTAAGTAAAATTGCCACTATATATACACGGAGGGTGTCAAAGGAATTATATACTTTAATTAGTAAAATCAACGGCATATAAAATCCAAAAAGGGAATTCAAATTGGAACAGACGGAAAATAGATAAAAGATTTACCAGAAGCAAAACAATCACACAGTATTATCTCCACAATGAAGAAATTGTATCGCCAAAATGGAGATAGATAAGTCTCAGACGGTTTATAGATGAAGGGAGATAGCAAAAATAAAAAGCGTAATCAGACAGATGAACAATGAAAATTAAACATACCAGGTGAGCAATACCAGACATTCCTGCCTTCAAGCAATCGGATATTGTCTCCATGTTCAACTAAACCTCTATAGAAAACTGCAAAAAAACAGATGAGAATCATTTAGAAACGGGGAAAAAGTTTTCCATTAGCATTTTTCCAAAAGAAGGCAATCAATTGCTTTCACATGTAAAAAATAAAGTTTGAAAATTAAAAATGAAGCAAGTTGAGGAGCAGAAGCAGGTGACGGTAGACGATACATAAGTTTTTAGAGAATATCAAAATATATAATCTAGAAAAACAAATAAAGCAGCCAATCCGAAGTTAAATAAACAGAAAGAAAAGACAACTTGAATTGAAAAAAATTCTTTTCTAAACACTTCATTTTCTATATTCTATTGGGTTCAATTTTTCACCAATTCTGCTTGGTAAAAAGACATACCGCCTTCAGAAAATGACAATCTGCTTGGTTATATAATCTAGCACCAAATTCTGCAAACTCCTTTCATGGATGCAGCTGCCTTGAACAGATCGGATTACATATGGCCAGCGGAGACGAACAATCTAATTCCTAATGGAAGACGACATTTATCAAGCGATGACTTTTTGGAGGCAACCACAAAGATGGAATGCTCTTTCAACAACTGCATAACCGCAACCATTACAATCAGAAAAGGACAGAAAAGGATTCACAGAATCTGCTTTCTGTAGTCTGAGGAAGACAATTCAGGATTCTGGACTGCTAGCGAATGAGAGGCCCTGTATAGCTGACAATCCTGCACACCACATCACATCACGTCACATTTCTCAATCAAGAGCATCATAATGCAAGGCAGGCAGTAAGTGATCTCACAAAGCAAAGGGGATGCCAAGGAAATTGATCAAGTGATGAGTACACACCACGGCGCTGACAACTGTCCAGATACAGAATAAAGAACATCAAACTACATGCAAGTGAATAAGAGATCAAGAACATACCTTTCCATAATATGGCAATATTTTTCTTCAGCTTTGTTATCAGACCAGGGTTTTCCTCGAGGATATCAATGGCAGTAATGGCAGCACTCGCAAGATATGGGGCAAAGAAGCAGAAAAGACGTACCCAGAGCTACTCAATCGCTGCCAATTACCATATCCCAAAATTTTATCATTTAGAAACTTTTGACGCTTTTTGTTTAATATATGCATGCACATAAGTGATTGTGAGCACATAATTAAGCATTCACTAAAATAGAAAGATAAGAAAGTCATTTGCTTGTTAAAAATTTCATCTATCAACAGAGACATCATATAAATGGTTAATAGTGTGTATTCGGTAAACATACTTGGTGATTGGTGACTCTAGCACTTCCAGTGCAAAATCCTCCTACTGTGGCTAATGCGTGTCCCATTGCACCAGTAATAATATCGAATTTTTCAACCTGCAAAATCACACCACCAGAAATCACAAACAGGTAATGGATCAATAGTTATGAGAGATACAAAAAAAGACGGGTTTCTAAAAATACCGGAATCCTACAGTATTCAGTTACCTCTTCCAGATTTTCCAAGCACACCAAATGAGTTACTCTCATCCAATAACACATGAAACTTTATATTTCTCCTTCAATTCAACTATCTTGTCTAAAGGGGCTATTTGGCCAGAATTCTGCAAATTTTATTAAAAGGAAACAAAATTCAAATAAAATTAACCTACATCTAATTGCATTCAGCTATTGAAGTTCTCAGAAAAACTGAAGACAATTTGTCAAGATGCAAATGACAACGTTGAATGCTGAAAAGACAGTTTGTTTTTTCTATTTGCCAGTGATTCACGTAGAGATGGAAAGCTTTCCTCAAAAATGTAACATGACACCAAGACTTTAAGAAAAAACCTTAAAAAATTGTGTCCACTGAAGTATGAGCAACCCTATTTTGTGAAAGTGGATGATGCTGGATTGAATATCATAAAAACAGCTCACAACATATAAAAAAATGAATAAATAAAATTTGATATACGGGAAAGCAACATACAGGAAAATCACTAAAAATACCAACGAAAAAAAGGGAAAACAATATACAGGAAAATACATTATCTTCATAAGTAAGAAGCAGATTGGAACAATGGAATTAGCAAAAAGCAAAAAAAGCCCCAGCTCAAAACCCAATTTTTTTTCTAAATCTAATCCTAGATATGAACATTTCAGCGAAACCTAAACCCTGGACAGGCACAAATATTCAACTCTTCATAGAAAATTTACAAAAATTTAAAGAATGACAACCCCAACAAAAAAAAAAAAAAAAATAATCCAAACATATCCAAAATTAGAGAAACACAAACCCAAAAGCAAATCAGCCTCTCACACTAAGCAAACACAGTAGCAGCCATGCACGCCCATGGCTCTTTCATCTCAGGAGGCCATGACTGACGACGGAATAAACAAAAATACCAAAGAAAGATCAGATTCCAAAAAAAACCCAAATCGAAATGAACCCTAGAAATTGAAATTCAGAATTGAAAATTCAAATTGGGGGAGCTCTGATATTTTACCTAAAATAGCAACTTAGGAGTTGCCGCTGCACCACTAATTCACAACTAAGCCGTAGCCATATCCATTCCTCAACAATCTTTGAATTCTAATTAAAACACAAAAAATATTAGAAAATGGTTAAAGATAAGTTATATAACCGCAGGCAAAATCCATTCCCTAAGCAATCTTTCAATTTTAATTATAAAAAATAAAAAAAAAAAAAAATTGTTAATGATAGGTTACACACCTGACCCAGAAAGCGTTTGCAAACTCCCAAAACAAAACCCTAAAATTAGAAGATAAACGTTTCCTGAAACCAAAAATGAAATCAAACAAAAAATCCACACACAAATCAGCAAAAAATAAAGAAAGCATTTAGCAAGAATCGAATTTTACAACAATCAATTAAAAAAATCTCTCCAGATGAAATGTTCTATTTGTCCTAATAATATAGGTATATATATATATATATAAGATTAAAAAGTGAGAGAGAGAGAGAGAGATGAACCTTCATACGGAGGCTAGCGATCCGGAGCTCGAGAAATCTGTGGAAGCAAATGAAAAGGCCCTGATTTTCCATATTTCTTCTGCTCTAGGATGAGAGAAACGGAAGAGATGGAGCTGTGGCTGCTAGGGTTTGAGGAGGACAGAAACAGGAAGAGTGAGAGATGAGAGGGCTCGCGTAGGAAGAGAGAGGAAGAGTGAGAGATGAGAGCTGGTTGGGTTCTACTCCTGAGACTCGTGTCCCGTTAACTACAGGCCCCCATACTTTTCTCTGACTGTCCCCCTCCTCCCACTCATGAAATCGAGGATCTGCAGCAATGGCGCTGAGATCCCCACACCTCTCTCTCGCTCTGGTCCTCTCTCTCTCCCTCTCTATCGGAGGCATGGCCTCCCATCCCCGAACCCTTAGAGCAATTCCACCCCTGTGACTTGCGCGCAGCACCCAGCGCATTTATCACTCAAAGAAAGTAATATACTGGAGTGAACATAATAGGCCAAGGCATCTCCACCCCTAAAAAATGCGCTGGCACCCAGCGCATTATTGGTTGTTGTTTTTTAAGTTTATTTCGGATAAGATTTTAACCCATTTAAATAAAGAATAAAAAAATAAAATAGTTTTAATTTCGGATAGGATTTTTAACCAATCTCGTCACGCCACTGTCATTATCTGAACGTACTATTTGTGAATAGATTTCCGATATTATTTTCAACCAATCCCGACACACCACGTGTCACTTCCATGTACAATAATTTAGCCAAGATTTCGATAAGATTTTCAACCAATCACGTCATGCCACGTGTCATTATCGAACGTACTTTTTGTGGATAGATTTTCGATAATATTCTCGACCAATCTGACACGACGTGTCACTTCCGGTACAATAATTTAGCAAGATCGATAAGCTTTTCAACCAATACGAGTGCCACGTGGCATTGTCCAGAACCTCATCTTCTTTTTTTGTCCATATAAACCCTACACTCCCTCCATCCTCACCACCAAGCTCAATCCTCTTTTTACTCAGAATCCTTGTATCATTTTCAATCTTGAGTTCTTATTACAATGTCTCTTCAAAAGGGGTGCTATAAGCAGTTGCAGAGCAACAACAAAGGTTGTTGGCACAACAGCAGAATTGGCCAATCTCGAGGAAGGTGGAGGTAGATGAGGCTTTCTTCATGGAGGAGGATGAGGATATTCACCATAGAAGGCAGAAGCCTCACATTCCCGCCGTGTATGGAAGCCGTGGGTCAGATAGCCAAACCAAGACGTGTTGCAAACCTCGATAGAAAAAGGGAAAAACGAGGTAAAATCTATTGGAAGATTATTTTATTCCCAATAGCATATTCCTGATCATGTTTTAGACGGCATTTTAGAATGCAACACATTTGTTCAACAAAATCATGAGTGATATTTGCAACCATGATTCATACTTTGGCAAAAAGAGGATGCTTTTTCATGTTCTAGGTCTTATTCCCGAGCAAAAAATTACGGCATCCTTCGAATGCTTGCATATGGAGCATCTGCAGATCAAGTGGATGAGATCGCGAGGATGGGAAAAACAACTGTTCTGGAGTCCCTGATGCGGTTTTGCTCTGCAATTGAAGCCCCTACACCAAAGAGTACCTCCGGACACCCTCGTCAAGGGACATGCGAAGGCTTCTGAGGAAGGGTG